GATACCTCTGCTTATCCAGAAAATAATGTATATGGTATTCCTAGGAAGAATAAGAAGGTACTAGGTTTAATGAAAGATGAGAATAAAGGGATAATTATGACCTAATTTGTTGGTCTTAGAGCTAAAATGTATAGTTATACTATTTTAATTGAAGAAAAAGATAAAAATAAAGACAATGATAAAGCTAATGTTGTTAAAAAAGCTAAAGGTGTGAAGCAGGCTACAGTTACAGCTATCACATTTGATGACTGCAAAAAATGCCCGTTTGATTATACAATTTTAAACAAAATTGAATGTCACATTGTCAGTAAAAAACATGAAGTATGTACTGTTCCTAGATCAAAAAAAGCTTTGAGTTGGCAAGACAATAAAAGACAATTATTAGAGGGAACTACTGATACTGTACCATGGGGCTATAAAAAAAGTAATACAAATTCGTAATTTTTATATTTTTTTATTGAAATAATTACAACATATCATAGTTATAAGTTATAGCTATAAGTTACAATTGTCATAGCTTATGATCTCAATTGTTATTTTATAAGTTATAATTGTTCTTTGATAAGTTAACCTATCACTATTATAATTTTTTCTGGTAATTATAAGTTTTTTGTCATCATTACAAGTTTAATTTTTTGTCAAATAAACTATATATCGTTTAAATTTATCCAACTATTGTGTTCATCGCTGAACCCCAACCACTTTACACATGCTTGATTTCCACGTTTTTTTAGAACTTTTTCAACCAAATATACATCAGGATATTGGACTCCAGTTAATTCTTCCTCATAAAATCCTCCTTCTATCGGTTTGTTCAGATAATCTTTCAATTTGTAAGTTACTGGATGAGTATTTTCGACTTTACTAACAGTAAAAATTTAAGTCGTCCAGTTAGGAGTATATCCCTTCTCGAATACATGTTTATATTTACTAATTCGAACTTTATCGCCAATTTTAAACTTATTCTTCTTCTTAATTTTTACATCTTTTAGCTTTCTGTGAACAGTATCAAATAATTGCTTCTCATTGGCTGAAGTTACATCCACAGGTTTCATCTTAATTGTACGATGTTTAGTATTGTTATATGATGATAATAGTTTCGGTAGCAAATCAATCCACTTATAATTTTCAATATGAGTGTATTCTTTCCAGATTTTGTTTTTTAAAGTTCGATTAAATCTTTGACAAATTGATGCTTTGAGATTGCTGAATGTTGAGTACATTTTAATGTTATACTGTTTTATAAGTCCTTCAAAATCCTTATTATAAAACTCTTTGCCTCTATCAACGTGTAAATGCTTGGAAACTCTTTTTTCTTTTAAAATAGTCATCATTGCAGCAGTGACATCTCTACCATTTTTAGTCTTAATTGGTATAGCCCAAGCATATTTAGAGAAAATATCAATAACTGTTAATAAATGTTGATATCCTTTATTGTAGGATTTATATGTAGTCATATCAACAAGATCCGCTTGCCAAGTCTCATCAAGACCACGTATATCCACATGTCGTCGTTGATAATTTCTTCTCACCGGTCTATGAAGCTCTTCTGCAATTTGTCTTTTTTCTTTATTCATAGTAATTGAGCTTTAGATTTTCCTTTTAATTTTTTCTTAACGTTCTCTTCCAGCTGTTTGATAATATCAGTATGTCTATTATCTGCTTCTTTAAACGTATTCAAAGTGATAAAATTCATTGATTTTATTCAATTCTGCCCTCAAATTTTGTTGTGCTGTTTGTGATGATTCCAATTGCTGTTTTACTTGCTCACTGATATTTTCAACTTTTGCTTGAAGATTTTTTATCTCTTGTGTTAAAGATGCTATCGTATTACTGATACTAGATTCAACAACTTTCAATGATACAGCATCATTCAGATCTACTGGATCAGCAAGGTTGCACAATCTTTCATTATTCATATCATATTGTTTATCAATTGTTAATTTAAATCCATTACCAGGTGGACCACGGACAGCACTTTTACGTGAATCATTGTCCAACTGACGTCCAAAAATGTCTACACTCATCCTCTCTCTTCAAGAGATAGTTAATCAATGAGTAATGATATTTAGCATCTAATTAATATATGATTCCAGCTTCACGCAATTCCTCAATAATTGACATTATTTCATTGTTATGGCTAAAATTGCCGGCAGCACGTGACGAAACAAGTAGACGCAATCGATCAACAAGTTCGTTGGGATCATCCCAATAAAGATAGTCCAGTGGTCGATTGTGATTTATCATATATTTCGGCAAACCTTTACCACTTTTCGGTGAATATTTTCTGATAATATTTTAATACTTTTTTGGATATTTATTTTCTTTGACACTTCTTTCCGGGTGATAATGTCTATAATAGGCGTTAATGCTTTTCAAAATTTACCCATAAGTTTTCTTGTCACTTTCTGTTATATTTTGATCAGACGATTCCGTAAAAAGCAATTCTAAGAGTCCAAGAGTACTTTCATATTTTTTATTACCAATGTAAACAAATTTATCATCAAATCTCGCTTCAGAGTAACCAATCATCAGTTTTTTTTTAATTTTCTGACACCAAACTTCGTATCCAATTCCTTTACTTGATGTTTTGAATCGAATTTCTTCAAATATGATACTGCAGGTGACTCTTTTATCAGTGTACTTTGATGAGGAGCAGTGGTAAAAGATTCATCTACAGTTATTGCACTATTATCCACATCATAATCAACCGTATTATCATGTGTTGTTTGAAAGCTTATAGCTTCTTCTATAGGAACTTTTTTTAATAGCTCTTCTTTTTTCACATCAAATTTCTCCATTTTCATCGGTGTCTTATCCACTAATTGTTGCAGAAGAGCTACCACGAGTTTAAACATTTCGTTCATAGCTCGTTGAGTTGTTTCTCGTCCGTGTTTTATAATTTCATGCTTACGTCGTATTGCATCACTCGCTTTTGCAATTTGATGCAGAACATCAGCTTGTTTTTGCATTTTTCTTATCTTCATACTATCACTTTGATAACTTCAACACAAATGTTCTTTTTCTCTTATTGTTGTACAATTTATATATTAATGAAGCAATCGAATCCTTTTCTATAACTTCCACAATCGATTTCTCTATCTTTGTCGATAACGACGAATCCATACTTATCATTCCAACATTTAGAACGAAGTTCTTGAAAATCAGAAAATGACATATCAGTGTTTACATGATCATCATAAATATGCTTTAAATTCATATCATCTTGTCGGAAAAGCACGAGAAAATTTGTATTATCTCGCACTAGATGTTTGGGAATACGTGCATAAAGTTGACGGAGATAAAAGCTATCAACATCTTTGTGTCGTCCCATACAAAAATAAGCACGCATATTATCTTGTTTCTCACACGCTACGTCATCAAAAATCATTATTGAATTTGGTTTTGCTTGTTCTGGTTTCACAACTTCTTCATGTTTATTGAAAGGAAAATAACCCATACCTTCTACAGGTTCACGTAATTTTTCCAAAAATTTATATTTTGGTTGATGTATGGATTTGGAATATAAATATATATTTTCAAATCGTAATCCATTTGGGTGTATAACAAGAGCTAAGAGAGCATTTGTTTTACCGCAATTCGAGGGGCCACATATCACGCCGCGAACGCTACTCGGTAATAAATTACCATGACGTTGAATTTTTACAGTTTGTAGCACGACGTTGTCGAAATTCGACACCAGTAATTGAGTTCTTTGTTGCTCGAACTTCATCGCGCTACTTTTATAGAAATTATTTCAGTATGGCTTGGGTTATGACACAGTACAGACGTGGCGCCGGTTTAGTTAACACTATCATAAATAAATTGCCATTCGAGTTACATATTCCTGGATATCAGTATTATAGACCCGGAACGAAATTACAAAAACGTTTAGAACGTGGTGATCTTGGTGTAAATCCATTGGACGCAGCGTGTAAAGAGCACGATATTGCGTATTCGAAAAATCGAGAAAACGTAGAAGCGAGAAACGCAGCAGATAAAGCGCTTGCTGAAAAAGCTTGGCAAAGAGTTTTTGCTAAAGACGCAAATTTAAGTGAAAGAGCTGCTGCATTAGGAGTTACTAATATCATGAAAGTTAAATCAAAACTCGGAATGGGTTTGAAGAAAAGAGTGGGAAAGAAAAAGTTGGAAAAGGTTTCAAGAAAAAACCTTTAAGACAGATTGTGGATTCAGCCAAGTTGATGATGAATTCTGGTGCAGATCCTATAAAATCTGCATTATCAGCTGCACGAAAAGCAGTAAAAACGATTGGTGGGAAAAAGAATGTTCGAGTTCCTCGTGTATTACCTGTACCGACTAAGGTTGGAGGTATTTCACCACTTATACGGATATTTGCCGGTCTAAGTGCAATTGGTGCTTTAGCTGGTGGAGCTTCAGGTATTGCAAAGGCAGTTAATGATGCTAAAGCTGCTTATCGTCAATTGGGTGAAGCAAAACGTCACAATCAAAACATGGAAGCCATAGTCTTGGGTAGAGGTCTACGTTTTAAACGTCGAAAACGAGGATATGGCCTATATTTGAAACCGGCGAAAAAAAAACGTATAGAGCTACCACATCGAGCATTAACTAACATCGACATTTTGAAGTATGCAAAAATTATGAAAATTCCATACTTTCGTGGAGTTTTAATGAGAAATGATTTACCGAAATCTAAACCATGGAAAAATGAGTCAGCTATTATTAACCTTGATGATAAAGATGAACCTGGAACTCACTGGGTGGCATATAAAAAACGAGGCAATAAAGCAATATACTTTGATAGTTTCGGTAATTTAAAACCTCCACCTGAACTTTAAAAATATCTCGATGTTGGTAGCTTATTATATAATCATACAGAGCAACAAGATTATTCAACAACAAATTGTGGACATCTATGTTTAAAGTTTCTCAGAGAAAAAGTTGAAGACATCTGGGGACTTGGTATGGAATTGAGTCTCAAAAGCTATGTAAAAAGTGAAGATTAATAAAAAGTTCTTGCCATGGCTGCGGGAGAGGAGACATTAGCTATCAACAGAGGAGTTGTTTTTGATGAGTCTATATCACATTGTGAATTACATGCTTATCAACCTTATGCATCAGCTTCACTCAACAACAACGATGAAATCCGGATTGCTGTTCAACATCAAGATTTGTGCTCATTGCCTTGCAAGAGTTCTCTTCATATTACTGGAAAATTTACGAAAACTAATGACACTGCTGTAGCATCGACAACGAAATTAGTAAACATGGCATTATGTTACTTATTTGAAGAAATACGATATGAATTGAATGGCATTGAGATTGATCGCAATAAAAATGTTGGTCTTACGAGTGTCATCAAAGGATATCTATCACTTCATCTAAGTTAATTAAATTATTTAGATAATACAGGTTGGATTGTCAATGATGAAAAGCTTATGGATAACAAAGGATACTTTGACATTTTGTTGCCATTGAATATGTTATTGGGATTTGCTGAAGATTATCATCGCATTATTGTCAATGCTAGGCATGAACTTGTTTTAACACGTTCAAACACCGATCTAAATGCAATAGTACAAGCTGCAGCTAGTACAGATGAAAAAATTACATTGACGAAAATTGAATGGATGATTCCTTACATCACAGTGTCGGATCCAAGAAAAATACAATTATTAAATTATATTGCCAAGGATCCGCCGATAACAGTGAGTTTTCGATCATGGGAAACTTATGAATATCCATTGTTACCGAGAACAACGAAAAACGTCTGGATGGTGAAAACATCAACACAATTGGAGAAACCGAGATATGTTATATTGGCATTTCAAACAGCACGAAAAAATGATGCAACAAAAAATTCCAGTCAATTCGATCATTGTAATTTGAGAAACGTAAAACTTTTTCTCAATTCACAATGTTATCCATATGGCAACTTGAATCTTGACATAGCTCACAATCAATATGCATTATTATATGATATGTACAAAAATTTCCAAGAATCATATTATGGTAAAGATTCAGAACCTCTTCTCACAAAAGAACAATTTATCGGAAAAGCACCTTTAATTGTCATCGATTGCTCAAAACAGAATGAATCATTAAAATCTGGACCTGTGGATGTGCGAATCGAATTTGAATCTACAAAACCGATACCCGATAATACATCAGCATATTGTTTAATCATTCATGATCGAATTGTTGAATACAAACCTTTGAGTGGACAATTAAGAAAATTATTATAATGGAACAAAAATCTGTTCAATTTAATCTTCAACCGAAAATACACATAATGCATGCATGGACTTATGCTTACAGAGCAGCCAGACAAGGATGTTGGGAAGAAGCAGCTCGAGATAGAGAAAGATTTAGATTACGAATAGAAAAATGTAATATTATAATTAATCCTGTATTATTGAGAAAAACTGATTGTATAAATAAAACAAAATGAATTGTTTTTATTTTTATAACACATTTTACAAAACATTTTATTCTTCATTACACATTTTACAATCCTTAACAAATGGTATAGGGCCATCATTTTGGTCGTCTTTTGGTGGATAATGATTGTAACATCGTCGATACATTTTAAAATCCTCATCTGATTTCCATTCATTGGGCAGTTTGTCCCATGCAGTGTCAATATTATTTGCAGCCTCTTCAATGATGAATTCTTTCGTTAAAAGTTTTAAATCTGTTGGATTCAACTTGAGTAAATTTTTGGTTACTCGATAAATTCTGATTGGTCTGATATCATCATCAAGAATCGAAATATTCTCAAAAACCCATTGGTTCAGTTTCTTTACATTCGTAAGTGCACATTTGTATCGATGGAAGTATAGACGTGGAAGTGCTATATTTATTCCTTTATTCACTATTCCTTTGTTGTGTTGGTCACGATGTGGACACATGAATCCAGTAACATCATAAATTGCAAAATTCTCTCTTTCCAAGTTAATAATCGGAATATCTGTTTTTATCAATGATTCCAGGAAATATTGCACTTCATAATCTCGTACAAAAATATAACGTACGTTGTTCAATGTCTCTTTGAAGTACTTGTCCAGTGTTTCATATGGTGTATCACCAATATCCCATGAAAGTCCATGATAATATTTTTTACCAACATCAACGTCCCATTCTTCATCAATATATAATTCACTGTAATCACATGGTGGTTTAAATAAAAAATGATACTCGGCAATTTCTTCCAATCCTAGCCATTTACATGAAGCCAACTCTTTCACAATCACTTTTCCGTTAGAAAAACGATAGCCTTTTATATCAATAACGAGATCTATGGTGATCACTCGTTCTCTCTGCAAGACTAATTATGAACTGAGAAAAGAGTCCCTCAATGGCTCTAATGCTTTTGAGCTCCCCACTACCGTTTTTCACCCCTTCTACCAAAAAAAGTGGGAGAAAAGTTAATGACGTCATTTCCATGAAAATAATTGTCTCGAAAATTCAATAGATTTTTTTCTATCTGTTATTTTTTACTTGATTATTGATTAATGGATAAATTACCTTCTTTTTCTCCTTTCTCCTGATCAATTTCTTTCCTTCGAGGTTCAAATTTGCAGCTATTTCATTTGCCACCGAAGAATATGAGTTCCAAATTATCTTCTTTGACGTAATCAAGTAATTTGTTGGAAGTAATATTATCTTCTCTCAAAGCATTTGACAATCTTAATGGTAAATAAACAAAGAACTTGTCGTCGATTGTTGCAGTTAATGTATCACCATGATTTGTATTAACTCTTTTCAGCCCAGTCACTCTATATCGATGCTCTACTTGTAAGTCAGCCATTTTCTTTACAGGTTTTTAGTTATATTTGCAATGTTATCAATGTAATCGATTTTATTGTTTCTTTTTCACTGCACGATATTAAAATCGATGTGAATACTTCGCTTATTATATTAAAAAAATAAAACGTAATATACGGCGGGAAAAAGTTTTTATGACATCACTTACATGGAAGTGTACGTCATACGAAAAATATGTGACGTCATTGACATAGACGCCGTTCTTATAAAACTGACAAAGGAAATTCTAAGAACTGAATATAACGGAAAGAGTGTAGATTATATTAAACAGACGAAACATTTTTAAAACAGTTCTGCTACAGAAATCATCGAATCCACACTTAGTTGTGCACTATTGAGAGAAAACAAAGTAATAATTACGTTGTCAAGTTTAATACATTGTTGAGTGAAATGAAATACAAAAATGGATTACATCAACAGTATTGCGAATAATACTCAAAAACCGAAGAAAAAAATGTCAGAATTAGAAACTACACGAAAACATCAAGTGACAGGATTGAAAAGAGTAAAATCAAGACATGGTGACGCAGTCATTGCCACACTGGATGACGACTTCATAGTTTTTCTGCCAAAAAGATTAACTGAAGCATTAAAAGACGACACTGGATATAACACCTTGATCGACTTTATAAGGAAAAATAACTTATCAGTTCAATACATTGGTGGGAATTGGAATAATTTTAAATTTAATGAAACGAATGGAGACAACACCCCTCAGGATTCCATAATACACGACACTGAATGGGCAGGAAGTAGATATTTTAAGGAATTAAATTACCAACAAAATTTTTCAAAATTCAAATTTAGAATTTTCAAAAATTTTAATTTCAATTATTTTCCCGCCACAACAACAGCGCCGCCTAGATCGGTAACAATTACCGACTGCAAATCGGTACAGCGCCATCTAGCGGGAAAATCGGCAACTACACCCACAGTCGGAAAGTTGCCGACCCGGTCGGTAAGTTGCCGGCTTAGGTGGTAAATTACCGGCACTGTCGGTAAGGTAGGATAAGCCAGAACCCCTACATATCTACTTAAAAAAATTTTTTGGCTAGATATTCTTGGAGGGAATGATGAGGAGAGTATTCGGCGTTTTAATTGTGAAGGGGCGGGGCCTTCTAGTGCGGGAGGTCACGTGAGCGATGACTGTTGCAACGTGTAGAATTAAATATTTGCAAAACTTCAAAATACTTCAGATTGAGTGAAAACTGTTAAAAAAAGATGTACAATGTACCTAGTGGCACGAAAAAAGTGGGTATAGTTAATTTTTTTTCAAAAACTATAAAAAATGATGTAGAAATTCGAAAAAATGAAAAAATTTTTTTAATATATGTCATAATTACTAATAAATGATTACAAAAAATTAGTTGAGAGCATAAATAAGTGATAGCTAGTTTGCAATAACGATGAAGTAACTGTAAAAAAATATATTGAGTAAAAAAAATTGTTTAAAAAAGAATTAAAGAAAAACATTATAATTTTCCCGGATTCCTTCTTAGAAAGAGCATCGTTTATTATAAAAAAATGAATTGTTCAATAATCATAATTGTTATGGGAACTATTCTTTCGTGAACAATTGAAAATTTACAGACTAAAAATGAATTTTCAATGAATTTAACATTCTGTTGATAATTGTTTATAAAAAACTATAAATCGTAGGGAGAAAATTCAAAATAATAAAAATTACGCATTTGGTTATAAAATTTATTTATAACAAATGCTAAAAATAAATTTTTTTTTAATTGTTTCATGCTCTCTACATAAAGATATGAAACTTTGCTGTGCATTTCTTTCATATTGAAAAATAACTTCATCCCCAAAGTAAGAGTAAAAGAATTCAAAAACATTCGGATTCTTCCCGGTATTAAAAAAAATTTTTTCAAAAAACTGAGGCAGCTATTTTATAGAGCGGGAAAAATCCTATTTGCTTCCGGATTGGCTATGAAATGTGCCTAGAAACAAAAAAAACATAAGAGTGCAAAGTTCACGAAAAAAATTTTTAAAAAATGACGCTTCAGATATTATAAAAAATCAAAACATTCGTTTTTTTTTTAATCTTAATCGGAAAATGTTAAGAAAACAATTTTGAACATTTCAGAATTTTTCCAGATTTTTTCATATGTTGGAAATAGTTTCTTTTCAAATGTTAATTAAAAAGGCGCTCAATGGCATATTTTGTCGAAGCGCCTAAAATGCTCGATTTTTACCTGTTTACGATAGACAGGTGCTCTCAAGGACATTTTCTTGTAGAGAATTCGATTTTTTACAAAAAACATATTAATTTTTTTTTCATAACTCTTATCGTTCTCGCTACGTAAACGATGAAAGGTGGAAAAACGCAATTTGCCAAACTTTGACACTCGATAAACAATAGTAATTATTGTTTTCGAGTAATAAAAATTTGCACAAATACTCTCCTTATTATTCCCTACAAGAATTTCTAACTAAAAATTTATTATTATTATTCTATAATTAATGCACGATAAATTCACACTGCTACTAGACTATTGCTTTAAATTACACTAATGTACTTTAACTCATTTATTAATAGTGACTTTTTTCTACGACATTACCAAAATGGTAGTTTTGTACTTAAGTCACATAATTGATAATTAACTTCTGATTCCCTGTTTAACTGATAAACTACTGATAACAGATAAGCTACACCGTAGGATGTGATCGGGAAAGGTGCACACACACAAAAGACACTGTTTTGAGCTTAATTAGAATTTCATTATACGTTAACAATGATTTATCAAAGAGGTGAGAGCTTAACTGAACTTTGTTGAGCCTGAATAGAGCTTTTCAAGAGCTTAGAACAATGATTATCAGACGAGAATACAGAACGATAATCGAACACGTGAACTCGAGCATCGACAGAGCGTTAATGCTGCAACCGCGCTGTACGACCTAGCACAATAGTACAACACCTGTCATTGGCTAGGTAAGAGAAGACGAGCTGTGGTAAGTTGAGCTCTGAGAAAAGAGCTAGAATAGAGAGAGCGGGTCGAGAGCGAGTTCAGCTGACAGGTTGCGTTCAAGTTTAGGCAACATAATTATTATTATTATTATTATTATTATTATTATTATTATTATTATTATTATTATTATCTTGCGATTCGTCAGAGGTGTCTGGCCAGGGATCCCAGGGCTCCGACCCACCTGGGGCCTGACCAGACGGAATTATCCTGCAGGCACCTGACTCCCTCAGGTTTGAGGGTGAGCCGGGGCTGCAGCCGTTCAGTCATTTGTTACAGTCGTCTCAGGATTCGGAGAGAACCAAGGATGACCGCTTTCTGCATACGAGCCGCGAGAATCTCAGCCGGACTACGGCAGACTGGTATTGTTCGAAGCTCTGTCAGAAAGCGGTCCCTCATCCCTCCGAGGGCGCCAATCACCAGGACTATCACGTGCGCTG